TAAATACTGAATAGTTTCTCTAGTGTGAGAAAGTGAAAGTGTAAATAAGGATTAAAAGGATTAATAATGAATAATTGATACTTTGAAATAGGAAAAGGTCCAAAGGGGTAGGGTTGGTGGGAGGGGAGGGGAAAGGAAAGAAGGGAAAGGAAAAAATATGAGAAAAGGAAAAAATGGAAATGAAGTCTATGTAAATAGGGAAGGGTGGAGGGGGTGAAGGGCACATAGACAATGGGGAAAAAATAAGAACCAAGATACATCATGTACAGGTACAAGCACTCAATGATAAATGTAAACGTATTGTATACCTAAAATGTACCAGTAAAAGAATTTAAGGAGAAAAAAACAGTTCAAAGGAAAATATAAAGAATATATATTTATATATAAGACAAAAATGAATGTATTAGTCACTTTCCTATCACAGGAACAAAATATTCAATACTTGGAATTTAAAGGAGGAGAGGTTTATTTTGGCTCATAATTCCAGGGGGTTAAGTCAAAAGTTGGCTGGCTCTAAGGCAGAAAGGACATGCACAAGGGCCTGGTAGAAGGCAGCTGTTATCCCATAGCAGCAAAAAAGCAGAGAAAAAAAGGAAGAGCCAAGGACAAGAATATACTCTTCCAGGTCAACTACCCAGTGACCTACATCTCCAGACCAGACCCTACCTCCAAATACATGGGACATTTGGAAGACATTTTGGATCTAACCATAAAAATGAGGAAATTAATCTGCTAATAAATGCAAAACTGCTTAATATTTTATAGGAAAAATAGTGTTTGATATAATCATTTCTATATTGTGACAACCAATGGAATTGTTATACATTCATTTGCACTTTAATAAACAAAAGTCATTTGTGTTAATAACATTTCCTACAATTTTCAGAGTTATAGTATTGCTTAGTAAAGAAAATCGAAAGATATGCAGCTACAGAAACAAATAATACTGGGAAATCCTTTAGGGGACATCTAGTGTTCCACTGAAGGAATATCTTCTCACCTCATTTGTCTATTTCAACATGTTTCTTTTTTTTGTTCTGAAATTACAAGATCAGTATTTTATTTCAGGCTCTAAAAAGAGATAAGAAAGAGTATTTTCCTTCTAAGTCATATTGCTTCAGTATTTCCACATGAGCAAGTCATTGTTTTTGCAAGTTATACTGCTTTAAATTTACTAAATAATTGAGACATCCTGGGGAGGTGAGAGGGCCTTATTAACAAGGAATACATCCCAAGACTTTGGCAAGCTTACCTGGAGTGGGTGGGCAGCCTATAGATCTTACACTAATTCAGAAGAAGTACCCTAATTACACGAAGCTCTTAACAGATGTAACATGTAGCTATGCCCATACAAAGCTGTATGTTTCTTCATGACTGTTATTGCTGTTCAAAGTTTATGGTGGCAAGGTACAGTGATAGGTGCTAAGTGTTGACATTCTGGTAAGATGTTACTTCCCATGAGTTAACCAATGCATCTGCCAATAAGTAAATGGCCTGATTAAAAACAAGAGAAATTCTGGATCAAAATCAGTGGTGCTCAATATTGACGCTGGATAAGTAAATGTGTACGCTTTAGTAGCTAGCTCTCCAGAACCTTTTTCTGCCTAGTTCATCAAAGTCAAGTTCTCAAAGACTAAAGTTCTAAAGGTACCTTCTATTGAGATACAGAAACTGTTTATTAAACCTAAGATAGCCAAGCTTCACATTTGTGTTGCTAATTCACCTCTTTCAAAGCTGATTGACATTTCTAACTTCTTTGAAACGTCCTTATGGTATCTTCTTTTAAAAGTAGAATTGATTAGCTCTTGTGAAAAGAGACAAGCTTACCATCATCTAGTCTAATTCTTCCATATTAGCTGCAACACACATGACAGGACAAAAATTAAATCCATTTTAAATTTCCTGAATAGTTTTTCTACACTGTACCTGATACCATCCATATACACAGTGAGTCACAGTACCTGAGAGACACTCTTAAAACCTTTTAAAACATCAGTCCCTTCAAACCACAGGATGAGGTTCTGGGTCAATTTTAAATTAGTTCTGCCTTTTATAAGGATTCTTTAACATGTACAGCTTTATTGCTGTACAAGAGAGACACATGCAGAATTCACATGCATTTACCACCAAGTATTAGAGACAGACCTCCCGCACAGCGCTTGGCTTGTGTTCCAAAGAGCTATGAATTGTGACAGAGGGAGCAGGAAGACTTGGCAGGGCAACTGAAGTTCAGCTCTGAGAGTCATCAGAGAAATCACAGGAGTGCTTGGGTACCAGACTGCGGTCCTTGCTTTCCCACCCTTTATAGAGATGCAGTTTTCCTATGGCCTTTGTTGATTTATCAGGGAAGCAGCAGCAAATCTAGCTATAGCAAGTTCCTTTCCCACCCTAAATTTATTGCAACCCTGTGGCATAGATCTTATGTTGCAAATGAAAACCGTAGATTGGAACATGGATAGCCAGGCCCATTACAGTACCCTCCAGTGTGGACTTTGCCAGAGAAAGTGATACTTGGAGAAGACAGCACTATTCAGCATTTGTAGGTCCTCCAGCCAGACTTCTTAATTAGCTTGGCATGGATTACATACGTAAACTTTTCAAAAGTTTTGTTGAATGAAATGAACAGCTGTGGATGTTACTTTTATCTCTGTAGACACAGCAGATTACCCTCAACCGTCTGTGGGAACAAGAGCGCAAATCTTACCTGTTGCAATGGAGGGAACTGCACAGAATTCCATGCTGAATTAAAATGCATGTGCCGGCCGGGTTTTACTGGAGAATGGTGAGTCCAATCAGAACTTTATGGAGGAGAACGCTGGGCAAAAAACAGTGGGATTGCTCACAGTTCATTTTCTCCTCTAATTGTATATCTCAGTTCCCATAGGAAATTCTGTGCTGAGATATAGTTCCAGACAGAGTCAAGCAATAAAAAAGAAGATAAATTACACTGTGGGTCAAAGAAGAAAACATTTTATTAGCCAAGATCTTGAATAGGGAAATATGTTTTATAATATGCTATTTTTTTCTAATAAGTACTTCTGGATTCATGATTTTTCCCCACTCACTCTAATACACAATGGAAATACGTTGCCGCTGAAGTAAATGAAACTTAAAGATTGCCTTGTAGAATTACCTGCAACCCCCAAAGCAAAACATTTCATCTAGACAATTCTGCTTTTCCCAGAGAAACCCTTCAACTCTCCTTTACCTAATGAAGGGCTTCATACAATCTGTAGCCTGCTGAAAATGTGGGCGAAAAGTGTAGGATATCTATTTGACTGGCTGGAAATGAGATTGAGAGAGGAAGAGCATGTTCTCTATAACTCTTATTAGATTCCCAAAGGACAGATGCACATTAGCCATTCGTTTAGCATTATGCCATGCACTTAAAACAATAGCGTTCCTAATTCTCAGAACTCTGCAAGGAAGATTTTATTGTTTCTATCTTGCAAACTAAGGCTGAGTTGTTAAGTGGCAGAGTAGATGCCAACCCCATTGTATGCTACAGTAAGGCTGAGCTATCTTTGAAGCCTCTGCTTGCATAATTATATGAATAAATCTTTGCTCACCACAATTAAGAAAATAAAAAAAGTGCTCTTCCATCTCATATATCACCCGGAATGAGGTATCTGATCTGCGATCAAATTTATGCATTGAACACATTTTAAAATGTCTGACACAACTGATAATCATGTTGACTGAATTAATTTCCCCTCAAAAGTAGTCAATAAAATAATGGATATACATGTGCTCCAATTATGCTTTGGACTAATTTGAATTCTCTGTTTTTCACCTGGCTCTTTTAGCATCACATAGACATAGCTGATTTGCCAGTTTTATAAAACAGCAGGAAATGCAGTCTATACCTGCATATTACCCTTGTAAAATGCTAGGTGACACAGGCATTACAAGTATACATGAGCTTGGAAACAGACAGAGTTAAGCCACATGCCAGTTTCCATTATACTCATGTATTCCCCGCAATTACTAACTCAAAGATCATTCAGTTGACCTCCAGTTCCATATCTTCAAAACTCTGGTATTGTAAATATTTGTTTGTCCTAAATATCAAACGACTCCTTAACTATCTTTACGTTACTTCCTGGCTTAATATCACAGTTTCTGTTAATGGCACAAAGCACAGAGCTCACCCAAAGCTTTGGATGATTTTTCTCTGCTATTCATTTACAGTATTGTCTCCATTTACAACAAACATTACACTGTCCTCTGATTTGTATTCATTTAAAAAATTCACCTTTGGTATTTAAATTATTGATTTGAATCATTGAAAACAGAGAAAGCTCATACTTCTACATTCTCTCCTAGGAGACTTCATTTGGACAAACTTCTCTGATGCAAAATGATTTTTAAAACAGTAAACCAGTGTTAGGTAGATTCTGTACTTTCAAAAGTCCTTAACTATATCCTTAGTTCATTCATTGGATGCTAATGGTTTTATTTTGCCTTTCTATGTATTATCTTCTAATGAAAGCTCCACCGATGCTTATAATACATCCATATGTGTCACTCACTGTTTACTACAAAATAGAAATAGGTAAGAAAGTGAGAAAAGAGTAGCTAGAGAAAGACTAGAAAATTTGAGGCTATTTCCCAAGGACTAGGGAAATGGAGCTTCCATAACATCCAAGGATAGTGAAAAGCTATCCTCTAATGAACTGACTTCTCTCCCGCCTGGTTGGACCTTCAGCTTTATAGCCTCATGCCAGCAGGTTGTGAATGATGGATGATCTGAATGCTCCAGCCCACCCAGGACACAGAATGCTTGGCAAGCTGTTGTGAGTTGTCAAGTTTTACTCAGATCTAATCAGAGGAGTCTCTTTCCAGCCCAAAAGCTTAAGCCAAAAAAGGGAAATAAAATGCCTCAGCTATGCTTGGTATCTCACAGGATAAGGGGCTGTTTTCCTCGGAGAAATCTTCCTTTTCTGTGATACTTTGGGTTGCTACAGCCATGGGACTTCATCCTCCCATTCTGAGCCTGTGATTAGTCTCAGACCCAACTGTGGAAGCTCTACTTTGGGGAGGGAGGGATTAAAAGGTGTAACTTCCACATTACAAGATTGCTGAAGAGATTCTTGAAACTGAGATCTTACATGAAATTTCCTAAAATAATATAGATGTTTTAGTTGCTGTTCTATCCCATGGTCTTAGGCGAGTGCTTGGCGCATGGTAGATAAATAATTGCGGTATGACAAAATGAGTGTTGTTGAATGGATCAATGCCTATATGGAAAAGCAAGCTGTTGGTTTCAGATAATGATAATTTATTAGTTTTAAAAGTGAAATAAAATGAATTTAAAGAATTTTGCCAAAAAGAAACAATAAATGTTTGTGCAGATAGATATGCTTACCCTGACATATGTCAAAATACTACATGGTACACCGTAATAATATACATTTTTTATGTTTTATGTATCAGGGGAAAACCAAATTGTTGGTGGAAAATTAGGTAAAAAACAATGTCTCAGTGAAGAAGAAAACTTCAGTTTACCTTAGAATTGATTTTGCTTCTTTTGGAAACTTTGACTTTGAAAGTCATTTTATCAAAACAAATTATGCTTAGCTTTTGGAACACAGGGGGTTTTTTTGTTTGTTTGCTTTTGTTTTTGGCAAGTGAGATCTTCTACTATCTACTTTTGTTTATGTTAAAAATGGAATTTCAATGAAAAATAATTCAGAATCTCCCAGAATTAACACTTTTTTGTTTGCGTGTGTGTGTGTGTGTGTGTGTGTGTGTGTGTGTGTACACGAACTATTTTTTTTCATTGACTTTATTGGTACATTTTAGGTATGCAGTACAGTTACAGTTATTCATCATTGGGATCTTGTACTATTTCATGAGTATCTTGGTTCTTATTTTTCCCCATTCCC